AAAAACAAAAGCCATCACCTGCAAAAGCAATAATAGAATCAAGACCCAAAAAAAAAGCCATCATAGAATCAGGAACAAAATTCCCTATACCCCAAAACTGATTTTAATTCGAAAATGCCCTAATTTGAAAATGCCCTAATTTGCAAATGCCCTAATTTCACTAAACTTGATTTCTGTATAATGAATTCAGAGCAAACAATAAACTAATACTTAGTCTCAACAAATTGAAACCCTAATTTCAAAAAATGATTTCAATTCGTAAATGACCTAATTTGACATAATAGATTCAAGACTAAGTTCGAAACCCTAAATTCGAAAATGCACAACAAATTGAAACCCTAAATTCGAAAATGCACAACAAATTGAAACACTAAATTCGAAAATGCACAAAATACTGAAACCCTAATTTCAAAATAAAAAATTACCAATCTCAGATCTACCAAACAAATAACAACCAATCTCAGATCTACCAAACAAATAACAACCAATTAGCAAAAGCCCTATCGAAATTCAATGAAGGTTAGGAAAAATTACCTTATATTTTTTCAAGAAAAAACGCGTGCGTAGATTTCTTCAAGCAAAAACCCTAGGTAGTCGAATTTCAGCCCTAAGCGAGCATGTTTCTGAGGTTTGGATTGCGAAGAATAGGCTAAGAATTATTCTGAGGTTTGGATTGCGAAAAAATTTCTTCAGGTTTCAATTTTGAAGTTTTCGATCGCGAAGAGAGAGAGAGAAAAAAATTTTCGTCTGTTCAATTTCGTTTTGAAGAGAGAGAGATTTTTTTAAGACTGACATACATCGTTTGTTTCTGAGGGCATAACGGGAACTTAAGCAAAAAATTAACGGAGTTAACACGGAAACGAGGACGGGGGAGCGTGCGCAAGCAGAAGTATAATAGAAGGGGGTAGGGCGCAATTTTTAAAATACAGGGGGATAATGCGCAGATTTCGTATAATACAGGGGTGTTTGGCGCAATTTACCCGTTTTTTTAGCATATAACTTGTTATGCCTCAGAATTTGTAATACCTCTTCAAGGTGTTGTAAGTGATCATTCCAATCCTTGCTATAAATTAGGATGTCATCAAAAAAGACTAGGACAGTTCTCCTCAATTGGTGTTGAAACACTTGGTTCATTAGTGACTGAAAAGTTGCTGGAGCATTACAAAGCCCAAAAGGCATGACAAGAAATTCAAACTGCCCATGGTGGGTGTTGAATGCAGTATACTGTCTGTCTTCAGGTTTCATCAAAATTTGGAAATAGCCAGACCTGAGATCAATTTTTGAGAAAAAACTTGCACCATTCAGTTCATCCAAAAGCTCATCAATTATAGGAATAGGAAAATCATGCTTGATGGTCAAGTTGTTCAAGTATCTGTAGTCCACACACATTCTCCAAGTGGAATCCTTCTTCCTTACTAATAGCACTGGTGAGGCAAAAGGGCTGCTACTTGGTTGAATCAACCCTGAGTTGAGTAGTTCTCCCACAATCTTCTCTATCTCATCTTTCTGACTGTGTGACACCCTGTAAGGGTGTTGATGTTTAGGTAAGCTGAAATCCTTGAGAACAATGTGATGCTCTACCCCCTGGTGGGAGGCAACCCCTGTGGTTCTTCAAAAACATCTGAATATGCTGCCAAAAGTTCAGAGACCTTGGGATTGATTATAGCTTCCTTCTCTGACATTTTAATCCAGAACATCTCTTCAACCTGTGATGGGAATTCTTGGTGCACCATCTTGTACAAGGCAGGTCCTGAAATGAGTTGACAATCCACCCCAGAAGTTAGGGCCTGAATCCTAACCTTTTTCCCTTCAATGGTTACTGTAAATGTCATCCTATCATAGTCTAACTTAATGGGGGTACAAGATTTGAGCCAGTCACCACCTAATATTAGGTCACACCCCACATTATCCAAGACTCTAGGAGAAAAAATGAAAGAGTGGCCTTGCATTTTCCATTTGAAGTTGGATATTCTACTGGAGCTCACCATTCTACTCCCATTGGCCACCCTAACCATAATAGGTTTGACCCTTGTCATTGAACAACCCAGCTTTTGTGCCACAGATTCTTGAATAAAGCTCAGTGTGCTGCCCGTGTCTATGAGTATGTGTAGTTTCTCTTGGCCCACCTCTCCCTGTACTCTCATGGTGGTAACCCCACCCTCTCCTGTAACTGCCTGTAGGACAACTTGTATCTCCTCAAAACCATCTTCACAACAGTCCTCTTGAACATTCCCCTGGGGTGAGTGATCATACAAGGACTCCTCTTCTTCTGTCATTATCATATAGGAGACCCTATTCTTGCACCTGACCCTTTGAGAAAGGTTCATCACAGTTATAACAGAGTCCTTTTTCCCTCCTGCTTGCCATTTCTGAAGCTGTTAGTAGCTTAAATTTTGAAGGGAGGGTATTAGGTGGGATTTTGGGTGCTTCT